TGGATGTAGAAGGAGGGTACATGGGAAATCGTACTATTACCTCAGTTCTTATTTTATAAATTTAAAAACTGCTTTAAAAGTAGCCTCTTACTTTAAAGACTGCAGACAGAAAGATATCTTCATATGCACTGAATAACTTTTTTTAAAAAAGATGGGCAATAAAAGTGTTATTGAGAATGTGGAGAAACTAGAACCTTCGTATATTGCCATTGAGACTATAAACTGATGCAGCTACTTTTTTTTAATTAGTTGCTCATGACAATACAGTGATCTTGACATATCATACAGTTGAATCAAATGGGATATAATTTCTCATTTTTCCAAGTGTACAGGTTGCAGAATCGCATTGGTTATACGATGATGCAGCTACTTTGGAAAACAGTTTGGCAGTTATTTAGAAAGTCAAACAGATTTACCATATGACCTAGCATTTCTAGGAACATACCCAAGAGAATGGAAAACAAGTCCACACACAACCTTGTACTCAGATGTTCACAGCAAAAGCTGGGTGTGGTATGCACACATTGCCCCAGCTACTCGGGAGATTGAGGTAAGAGGATTGTGAGGTTGAGGCCAGCCTCAGTAACAGCAAGTCCCTGTCTCAAAATAACAAAAACAAAAACAACAGTAGAACAAATGTTCATAGCAGCATTGTTCATAGTAGTCAAAGCTAGAAACAATCCAAATAAACGTCCGAGAATCAATGACAAAAGAAACGGGATGTGTGTCTACTTTTTATTGCAATAGAATAATATTCTTCAATACAAAGGAATGAAGGACTGGAACAAGCTGTAGTATGAAAGAACGATAAAAGCATTAAGCTGAGTGAAATTATTTAGACACCAAAGACCACATATTTTATGATTTTATTTGTTCGGTACAGGTCAACCCATACAAAGTTCATTAGTAAAGCCAGTCACTTGGGCACACGCCTGTAATCACAGTGGCTCTGGAGGCTGAGGCAGGAGGATCATGAGTTCAAATCCAGCCTCAGAAACTTAGGCCCTGAAAAACTCAGCAAGACCCTGTGACTAAATAAACTATTAAAAAAAAGGGCTGGGGACATGGCTCAGTGGTTAAGTGCCGCTGGGTTCAAACACTGATACCAAAAAAAAAAAAAAAAAAAAAGTTAATTAGTGGGTTCCAGGAATTGTGGGGAGCATGTTTGGGAAGTGACTGTAAGTGTTATGGATTTCCTTTTGGGGTGATAGATAAATTCTAAAATTAGTGGTAATGGGCCAAGTGTGGTGGTGCACACCTGTAATCCCAGTGACTTGGGAGGCTGAGGCAGGAGGATCACGAGTTCAAGACCAGTTTCAGCAACCTAGTAAGGCCCTACTCAACTTAGTAAGACCCTGTCTCACTGTCATCCGTGGGCATGTAGCTCACTGGTAAAGCACCTCTGGTTTCAATTTCCAGTACCAAATAAATAAAATTAGTGGTGATGGTTTCAAAATTCTGAAAACATCAAAATCTTCTTATACTTTAATGGGGTGAGTTTTATGATATATCAAATTATATTTCAAGAGCTAGGTGCAGTGGTGCACACCTGTAATCCCAGCAGCTAGGGAGGCTGAGACAGGAGGATCACAAGTTCAAAGCCAGCCTCAGCAAAAGTGAGATACTAAGCAACTCAGACCCTGTCTCTAAATAAAATACAAAATAGGGCTGGGGATATGGCTCAGTGGTCGAGTGCCCCTGAGTTCAATCCCCAGTACCAAAAAAAAAAATACATTTCAATACTGCTGTTCAGAATAAAAAGCACTCCTCAACCTTGCAGCCTTATTGTTGTCCTGGTGGAACCCGCAAACAGGAAAACAGCTTCCAGGGCTGACTGGGCCCCTGTCATCCCTCCTCTGCTGCTGGTGGCTTTGAAGGAAGCCTCTGCTGCTGGTGGCTTTGAAGGCTTCTTCTCGAGGTGGTTACATTTTGTCCGGCTTTTCCAACTGTCCTGAGTTGAGCGTTTCTCAGTTCTTGATCTACCACCTGAAGCCTTCCAGGCAGTCTTAAGCCAGATGTGACATTTAGTATCAGATTTAAATTTGTATCTCTAAGTCTAGCAATTCTCAAAATTTTTAGTCTTTACATACTTAAATATTACTGAGGGCCTCAAAGAGTTTTTGTTCACATGGGAATATATCTGGAAATAGTTACCATATTAGAAGTTATTTAAAATTATCAATAAACTAGCCAGGCATGGTAGTACATGCCTTATAATCCCTGCTATTCAGGAGACAGGCAGGAGGATGGAAAGTTGAGGCCAGCCTTGGCAACTTAGTGAGACCCTGTCTTGAAAAATAAAAAACAACTGAATGTGGTGGTGCACATTTGTAATCGCAGCAACTTGGGAGGCTTTGGCAGAAAGATTGTAAGGTTGAGGCCAGCCTGGGTAACTTACACCCTCAGCAACTTAGCAAGATCCTGTCTTTTTTTTTTTTTTTTGACACTCCAGGGGCATTCAACCACTGAGAAACATTCCAGCCCCTTTTTAAAGACTCTGTCTTAAAATAAAAAATTAAAAGAACTGGGGATGTAGCTCAATGGTAGAGTTCCCCACCAGGTCAGTCCCCAGTACAGTGCGCGTGCACACACACACAAAAGATAGAGATACACAAGTGTTCATGTGTTGCTATATGTTAAATATATATTTATGTAGAGTAATATATTATAAATATGTGTATAATTTAAATTCCTCCTAATCCTGATGAGAAGGTAAAATGATTGTTTTCTCCATATTTCAACTCAGGAGATTGAGTCCTCAGAGCATAGCTAAGGGGCAGTGGAATCAAACTCAGTCCCAGATCTCCTGACCCCAAAACCAGTGTCCTGTTTGCTTATCTGTAAAATGAAGTTTCTTCCAAATAAGTTCCTGAGTCACCTCTTAATACAGCTTATCAGGGGAGTTGGTGAGATTGAGATGGTTGTGCCCCAAATTGGAAAATGGACTAGAGCTGGGCTTCTGAAGCAGGGGCCTGACGAGAAGGTGCCCCCAAGGGAACAAACTCCAGGTTTTCTTCATTCTCTTAATCTGCTCAAGACTGAGCACAAGGGAGGAATTTCTGTTGGCGTGGCTTGAGCCATCTGCATGTCCTGTGGTTTATGTGGTGGCTGTCAACTGGGGGTGGTTTTGTCCTCCCGGCGGGCAGCCTAGAGACACTTTTGGTCATAACTAAGAGAGAATGCTGTTGGCATCTAGTGGACAGAGACCCAGCATGCTGCTGAACCCTGATGCTTCAGAGCACAGCTCGGCCCCCACAATGAAAGATTGTCTGGCCCCAAATTTTGGCAGTGCTGAGGTCAGGCGGGAACTGAAGTTCTGTTACCAAAAGAAGAAATAAGTACCACAAACTGAGGCAGTAATTCCAGTGACTGTGAAGATGGATTACATGTTTGTAAATTTTGGAGTACTTGAGGTTTCTCAGAAAAAGGGGCATTTATAAAATATTTCAACCTCTGAGCTTAAAAAAAGATTATAGGTGATTATTTTTAGGAAAGGTTCTTTGAAATAAAATTTTCATGTAGGATAACCTATAATAATAGTGCATGCATATGTAATTAATATTTAAACTTAATTCATAATTTAGTTTTTTTTGAGCAACAACAAAAAAAATTAGTATGAACTCACTCAACCAGAATCAAAACTGAATTAAACCAAGGCCAGGTGTGGTTAGCATACCCCTGTAATCCCAGCTACTTGGGAGATTGAGGCAGGAGAATCCCAAGTTTAAGGCTAGCCTCAGCAACTTGGTAAGAACCTGTCTCAAAAACTAAAGGATAAGAGCTGTAGTTCTGTGGTAAAGCATCCCTGTGTTCATTCCTCAGTACCAAACAACAGCGACAAAACACAAAAACCTGAATTAAACCAAAGCACTCTTTTTTTTTTTTTATTGTTGGTCGTTCAAAACATTACATCTTTCTTGATATATCATATTTCACAATTTGATTCAAAAGGGTTATGAACTTCCAACCAAAGCACTCTTAAGGGGACTTCTTACAATTGAACTAAGCTTTTTTTTTTTTAATATTTATTTTTTAGTTGTAGTTGGACACAATACCTTTATTTTATTTTTTATGTGGTGCTGAGGATCGAACCCAGGGCCTTGCACATGCTAGGTGAGCTCTCTACCACTGAGCCACAACCCCTGAACTGTTGAAATTGAACACAACTAGAACATGATTATGTTCCCCAAATGGGAAAGCAATTATTCTTCAAACTTATTCAAGACAGTAGATAATTTATTTAGTTATAATAAAAACATTTATATTCAGATAATATTTAGTTAAAGAACCTTTCATTTCTCTACAACTTTGGATGTTGCCAGTATGTCGGAATCTGAGGATGGTGGATCTGTGGCTTGTGTGTTCCTTTGTTACAACTTTTCCAGCACTTCACCATGTTCTTTGCCTACACAGTTATTAGCGATAAATCCAAGTAGAAGGAAGACTGATTCAGCCCATAATTTTCCTACCGTTCCCTTTTTTTTTAAGTTTATTGAACATCTAATTATTTCTGAACTTGTTTTTGCTATTATATGTGTTTTCCTTTTTTTTTTAAGAGAGAGAAAATTTTTTTAATATTTAATTTTTAGTTATCAGAAGATACAACATCTTTGTTTGTATGTGATGCTGAGGATCAAACCCGGGCCGCATGCATGCCAGGAGAGCGCGCTACCACTTGAGCCACATCCCCAGCCCCCTACTGTTCCCTTTAACTTTGTTCCCTCTGTTTGAAGATAAGCTGTGTACATGTGACTCATAACTTGCCTATTTGGCTTTCATATTTTGTAATACCCATGCTGTTCCAGGTCTGTTTTACTACCCTGAGAAAGTCTAGAAATGATTAGAAGCTTTTTTCCATGCCTGTCAGACATGGTAACTTTGGAGCCAGCTGCCAAAGGGATCCACTGCCAGGTCTCCAGGTTGGGATTTGAATAAGTCTCTCTCACTGTGGTCCTTTGCCCGAGGGCCCCACGAGTTACCTCATTTGGGTGTCATTTCAGGTGAACCACTGTCTACCAGAGAAGATTGTGGTGTACCGTGATGGAGTGTCTGATGGCCAGCTGAAGACAGTTGCCAACTATGAGATTCCTCAGCTGCAGAAGTGTTTTGAGGCTTTTGAGAATTACCAGCCCAAGATGGTGGTGTTTGTAGTTCAGAAGAAAATCAGTACCAATCTGTACCTGGCTGCTACTGAGCACTTTGTGACACCCTCCCCTGGAACTGTGGTAGATCATACAATAACAAGTTGTGAGTGGTAAGTGGGCAACAAAAAGACAGTATTGGAGGATAGGTTGGAGCAGTTACCTGTTTCCGGGGTATTGGGATGTGGAGGATGCCAGAGAGATTGGAATGGAATCCACAGGTTCTCTTTTTCTTTCTTTTTTCCTTTGTAAATTTTTTTTTTTTTTTTTTTGGTGCTGAGGATTGAACCTGAGGCGCTTTACCACTGAGCTGCATCACCAGCCCTCCTTATTTTTTGAGACAGGATCTCACTAAAGTTGCTCACTAAATTGCTGAGGCTGGCCTTGAACTTTCATACTCCTGCCTCAGCCTCCTGAGTTGCTGTGATTACACATGTGCATCACCATGTTCAACCAGATTCTACTATTGAAAAAAATAAAGCTTTAAGCTAGACTTGGTGGCACAGGCCTCTAATTCCAGCAACTAGGGAGGCTAATGCAGTAGGATTGCAAGTTGTAGGCTTAAAAATTTAGTGAGTTCTTGTCTCAGAATAAAAAATAAAAAGGTCTGGGGATGAAGCCTGGTGGTAGAATGCCCCTGGGTTCAATTTCCAGTGTCAGGAGGAAAAAAGAAATTAAAAGAAGAAAAGTTTTAAAAACATTGAAAACCAACAAAGCTTTTACCGTTAATACAGAATTCTGCCTATGCAGTCTTGTCCTAAGACCCAGAAGGCTAACCCTTCCACGCACAGGTAAGGGAGCATCTCCCACCACTGCAGTAGCCCAATGAGTCAGGAGACCTAAATTCTAATACTAATCTGATTCTTGTGTGTCCTGGATCCAGTCATTTTCCTTTCTAAGCCTACATGGAGGAGCTAGAGTGATTTCCAAGATCCTCTCCAGCTCCTCCAGCCAAATCTTACCATGTCCTTCATTGGTGCTTTTTCCTTCCTAGGGTGGATTTCTACCTCCTCGCCCACCATGTACGACAGGGCTGTGGCATTCCTACGCATTATGTCTGTGTTCTCAACACTGCGAACCTGAGCCCTGATCATATGCAGAGGTGATAACTTACTCCTTTCTCACCCTAACTTCTGACCAGCTAACTAGGTGGGGTCACTGCCTGCCCCCAGGTATACCTACCCCTTGAATTTGACCACAGTGGTATTCTTTTGAGAAGTAACTGGTAATCCCGATTTTACAAAATTACTTGAACATCTTAAAATAAATAAATACATAAATAAAACTGATATCAGCTAGTGCCCCTGAACGTTCTAAAGTACTCTTATTTATTCAAGAGACAATGTCTTGCTGTGTGGCTTAGGCTGGTCTTGACCTCCTGGACTCTAGTAATCTTTCTGCCTCAGCTTTCCAAGTAGCTGGGACTGTAGGTGCACACCACTGTGCCTGGCCGGCATTTGTGTTTTAAGAAATGCTGCACATGGTTATGACACCACCAGATGTGAGACCCAGTGTCCTTGAGTTCATATCGTCTCAACATGCCGCTGAGGTCCTTATCCTACTGCAGACTTTTCTTGTAGGCAAAGAAAGGCATTTTCTTCATGTTGTCTTTCTTGTTTTAGTATAAAAACAAGAAAACGAGGGGATTCACCCATCCTCTGACTTACAAATGATCGAAGTAGGAACAATTACATGGAAGAATAATGATCCCAAATGCTGCTTGTGTATTCCTGGTTTCCCCAGTTTGCTGGCGAGGGCGCTGTGTGTCATAACCCCGTGAGCGTGTGATCACACCCTGAATTGGAAGCAGAGAGTGATAAAGATCACATTTTCTTTTTGGCCTCCAGGTTGACTTTCAAACTGTGCCACATGTACTGGAATTGGCCTGGTACCATTAGAGTTCCAGCTCCTTGCAAGTATGCCCACAAGCTGGCTTTCCTCTCAGGACAGATTCTGCACCATGAACCCGCCATCCAGCTGTGTGAGAACCTGTTTTTCCTGTGACCACAGCCTGAGCATAGGCTGATAGGAGAAATAAGACTTCACAGCTCAGTCATGACTCTCGCAGAATGAGCAGAGACAGAAGTGGAATTTTGTGTTGGTGTTTTCTCTTTCTCCAATCTTGTAGACTAGGTTTTCCTTTTTTCTTTTATCCTGATATCAAGAAGCAAGTTTCCAAGTACCAGGTAGAGATTGCCTTCCTGTCTTTGTAGAGCAAATGATGGAAGTACTGTGCAGAGGCAGGCAGAGTCAGTAGATGTAGGGGAGCCATTAACAGCCTCCCAAGAAGTCAAGCACAGTGGCACATACCTGTAATGCCAGCAACTTGGGAGGCTGAGGCAAGAGGATCATAAGTTGGAGGCTAGCCTCAGCAACTTAGTGAGGCCCTAAGCAATTTAAGGAGACACTGTCTCAAAATAAATAGGGCTAGGTGTGTAGCTCAGTGTAACTCAGTGTGCTTAGCATGTGTGTGGTCTCAGGTTTAATCCCCAGTACTCCCATAATAAAGAGTCTCCCAAGCCAACGTAGCTGTAGAAATATGCAGAAGCAGCATTTGTACCTGGAAGCTGTGGTTACAAAGCGGCTCCCATTTCTGGCACCAGAGGTGAGAAAATGAATGAAGTCATTGCAGATTTCTTAAGTAGGGAGTTACTTTTTGGGAGCAACTGAGAAAGATTAAGTAAAAGGGTGTGAAGCAGAGTTTTTCAGAGAGAGATTATTGTTGCCCACAGGTGTGAAAGCAGGTGACCCGCTCCTGTGGCATAATCAGGCTCTGTGTGTTCATCTCCCCTGGGGATTGAGTTTATGATACCTGTCACTGGAATCGGATTTAAGGTGACTTGCAGCTATCCCTCAACTTAGTTTTTTCTATGCCTTTCAGTTGCTTTACAGCATACCATGTTGCTTTCTTGCTCCCCTTAAACACATACACACACACCCCTATCTTTGCTCTTTGTGACTGATCTTCAGTAAGTTTCAGTCTTTTAAGTAACAATCAGAACACATGGAAAGAATTCAGCAGCTAGGAAAGTTCAGGATGGGGTGTGAGTTTTTCATTGGCCTTTCTCCCAGTGCTTGGCCTTCCTTTCCGAGCGTCTGTTTGTAAATGGAGCGCTCATTTCTCTTGCACAAGAACCTCTTCCAGCTATGGGCTCACTTAGCTGGGGATTTTTCGGAATCCCGGTTAAGATTTCCAGAAGTCAGCTTTGAAAAACGGGACGCTTCTACCAAAGTCCACACATTACAGTTTAGGAAGTTATCACTATGCCTGAGTGTTTCAGGGAAGCAATGGTTCTTGTTTTCTGTGTCTTCCTCCATTTCTCCCCTCCCCATTTTAAAATCTTTGGATCTCTTCAGACTTATTTTTATCAAGGTTTATCAAAACCTTGCTTTGCTGGGTTTTAAAAGCCAGTTTTATTTAACCTTTTCAAATTGATATTTATTTATTTATTTGTGTGTATGTGTGTGTGTGTATGTGTGTGTGTGTGATAGAAGGGAGAGAACAGAGCAGAAATACCTATTTTATACAACCGTGCATGGGAAGAGGAACTTCAGCTTAAATTCCTTAAAAGAAGAAGCCAAGAGAGCTTTTAATTTGTGGCAGTGCCCACAGAGGTTGGGAAGGGATGTGTGTTGATAGAGATTTATTTGGAGTTGGCTACAGAGGGTGAGGCTAAGGCTGGGAATCTAAAAGCCACAGATGGAACCACTGGTCTCTGGTTGGCGAGATCGGCTTCTGATAGTCTTTAGAAGCATTTTGAATTTCCCTTTTAAAGTTGGATTTCCTAGTGCTCTTTTTCTCTTAGATAATCAGAAGAGATAAATGCTTGAACATAATATAGAAATTTCTTCACTTTTTATTTCTGGTGTTCTTGTGTTGTTTTTCAGTTTTAATGCCAAGTGATTGGATCCTGGGTGGGAAATAAAAGTAAATTTGTATAAATGGGCAGTCATGTTTGAAATAGTATCATTTATTTATTATATGGATACAGTTCTTTTTCTGCAGACAGCTGTAACACTTAGAATTATTCATTTATTACTGTACATGCAAGGTGCAGTGTCAGTAGCCAGATGATTGCACCCTGAGCTGAGTAGAGTTATTAGAAGACTTATTGGAGCTGTCTCACTTCCGGGACAAATGTAGCATTTATATTTTGTGTGTGTCAGGTAGCGGGTGTAGCTCAGTGGTAGAGCACTTTCCTGACAGACTCTGGGGTTCCATTCCCAGCAATGGAAAGAAAACCAAAACCAAAACCAAAACCTTACACCTCTTACCCATATTTTGTTGTGTTTGTGTTCGTCTTGTTTTCAGATCTCCTTAGACCTGGAGAGTGCGCTTCAGGGTGGCCTCCCTTTTGTTATTAAACGCTTGCCCTTCTTTATGTACACTTTGCAGTGTGCCTCTGGTTCCTAAAACACCTTCCCAAAGTGTCATGGCTGCTCCTTTCATCGAGGCTCCTTTTAGAGAACTGCAGTTTTCTATTTAGGAAATCCACTCTTCATGATGTGGTGCTTCCTGGGCTCATTCTACACAGTGTGCAATAGGGCCCTTTTCACGGGGGCAGCATTTCATTGATTGATGTGGAAAAGGAAAGAATTTTAGAAATGTCTAGCTCTTTATATTGAAAATCTCGAAGTTTAGGACCTGAAATTAAATTCTCAAAGATTTGGGATTATTGAAGAAGATCCCATTTTCTCCTTCTGGTTTTATTCCTAGCTTCATCTGAGTTTCTTAGTAACTTTTCCAAAAAATGAGGAAAATCAAGAGAATGAGAAGACAAGCCATAGACTTGGAGAAAATACTTGCAAAATTCATATCTGGTAAAAAGTTCCAAAATATACAAAAAACTCTTAAGAACATCATAATGAGGGACTGGAAGTGTAGCTTAATGGTAAAGCACAAGGTTGGCATTGGGGAGGCACTGGGTTCAATCCCTAGCTCCCCCCAAACAAAAAAAATTAAAAAGCCTAATTTAACATAATCTTACCATACAATCCACCAGTCACACATCTTGGCATTTACCCAAAGAAGAAAGTGAAAACTTAACATCCACACAAAAATTTGCACACAGATGTCTATAACAATTTTATTCATAATTTTAAAAATTGGAAGCAACAGTAGCAGAGTGTGGTGGCACACACCTGTAATCCCAGATACTTTGGAGGCTGAGGCAGGAGGATCACAAGTTCAAGGTCAGCTTGGGCAACTTTATGAGAACCTGTCAAAAAATGAAAAAGGCTGGGGATATAGCTCAGAGGTAGAGCACTTGCCTAACATGTGTGAGGCCTTGGGTTCAATTCCTTATATTGCAAAAAAGAAGAAAACAAAAGAAAAGAAAATGTTCTTAATTGTTAAATGCATAAACAAACTCAGGTATCCAATTGGTAAAATATTATTCAGTATTAAAAAAGCCATGAAGTCATAAAAAGACATGGAAGAACTTAAATGCTTATTGCTCATGAAGTCAATCTGAAAAGGCTATACAGTGTGTGATTCCAACATATGGCATTCTGGAAAAGGCAGAAGTTTTAGTGGAGGCTATAAAAGGACCAGAGGTGGGGAGGCAGGGAATGACTAGGTAGAGCACAGAGGGTTTACTTAGCACAGTCAAACTATTCACTGTGACACTGTAGTAATAGACACGTGTCATGAATTTGTTAAAACCCAGGGAATGCCCAACACTAAAAGTGTACCCTGATGTAAACGATGGACTTTGAATAAAAGTGATATGTCAGTGAGGCTCATTGGCTGTAACAAATGTACCACTCTGGTGGTGGACGTTGATGGTGTGGGAAGCTGTGTATATGGGAGGGCTGGGGAATATATGGGAAATTTCTATACATTCTGCTAATTTCTTCTTTGATATTAAAACTGTTCTAAAAATGAGGTTTGTTTTTGTTTTTGTTTTAAATAAGGAATAATAGTAGACTTCTGGCAATATGGTAACCTGAATTGAACCCAGGGGTGCTTATCCACTGAGTCACACCCCCCCTCCACACTTTTTATTTTTTGTTTTGAGACACTGTCTCACTAAATTGCTTTGGGCCTCACTAAGTTGCTGAGGCTGGCCTTAAACTTGAGATCCTCTTGTTTCAGCCTCCCAAATTGGTGGGATGACAGATGTGTGCCACCACACCCTGCACTAAGCTGACATTTCTGACAAAGAAAAGTTGACCCAAATAGTTTTGTTTTGGGGGGGTTTTGTTTTTTTGTACTGGGCGATTAAACCCAGGGCATTTCTATTACAGCCTTTGTGCTTTTTGTTGTTTGTTTATTTATTTATTTGGTACTAGGGATTGAAATCAGGGGCACTCAACCACTGAGCCATATCCCCAGCCCTGTTTTCTATTTTATTTAGAGACAAGGTCTCACTGAGTTGCTTAGTGCCTCACTGTTGCTGAGGCTGGCTTTGAACCCATGATCCTCCTACCTCAGCCTCCTGAGCTGCTGAGATTACAGGCATGATTACATGCATCACTATACCAGATTTTTTTGTTTTTGAGACAAGATCTCACTATCTTGTCCAAGCTGGCCTTGAACTCCTGGGCTCAAGCGGTCCTTCTGCCCCAACCTCCAGAGTAGCTGGGACTAAAGTGTGCATTACATCCTCCTTGGCCAATGTAGAAAATATATTTTTTCATACATAATTGAACTTGGAGAAAATGGAACAAAGAAAGGAAAGAAGTGGAGAAGAGGGGAAGGAGGAAGGAAAGATCATATCTAGGTACAAGAAAGGAAAGTCAGGGGCTGGGGATGTGGCTCAGGCGGTAGCACGCTCGCCTGGCATGCATGCGGC